CTGGCTTTGAACTATGATCCTTCAGATTTTGGCCTCCTAAGTAGCTAGGATTACAGGTATGAGTTGCCAGCACCAGGCTGAAAAAATTTTTTTAAATTAACCATTGGAAAATTGAAACAAATCAGTCTGAGTGGCAAAGCTCAAGTGGTAGATAGAGGCTAGGCCTGGCATATGTGAGGCCCTGAGTGTGATCCCTAGTATCGAAAAAAAAAAAAAAACAAGCTTAAACAAACCTTACTCAAAAACACACATTATTCCTTCCTAATATTATACTTAGTTAAAATAACTGATTTTCTTCACTTTTCCCCCTCTTTTTGTCTAGGATTTTTGCCATCTTAGGAGTAAAAATATTTTTGGCTACCAACATTATTGGATCTCTGCTTTTAAATACATTGGGTAAAGAATCTATAGCACAAAGCTAAGAAAAACAGGGTCATTTTGTAAGTATGAGGCATTCAGACTAGCCTTAAGCAAGCTCCCCAGCTTCTAGAGAAGAAGCCAATAGGCAACATTTATTACTCTCAAGTTCTAGGTCTTCCCCCATACCTCTTTACCCCAGCAGTCTATCTGTCCCCTTCTTCTCCACAATGTCCTGCATTTCCTGAGAGATTATAGCCTGCTCCATTCACTTATTTCACAAACACCAAGCCCTCAATTTCTATAGAGACATAAAAATGAAGAGACCCTGGTTCTGGGCTCTGGAGTTTACAACTCACTAGGGAAAAAGATCTTCAAAACAAGCAAGCACTATACAAGTAGGGTCAGCATACTTTGTTTGAACAGGGCCAGAAAGTAAATAGTTCTGGCTGCACAGGCCATGCAGTCTCTGTCCCAGCTACTCAACTCTGCTACCATGGCACGAAAGGATCCACTGACAGTATGTAAATGGATGAGAGTAGCTATAATACAACAAAAATTTTATTTACAAAACTAGGCAAGAGCCCAGATCTGACCTACGTGCTGCAGTGCTTGCTAACCATGGGAGATGGCATCCTAGGGCACATCTATCAATGCTCCAAGAGCTTCAGAAAAACTGGGCACTGATAGCTCATGCCTGTAATCTACCTCACAAGGAATGCCATCAAAGCTTTTCTGGACAGCTACAACAATCTATAAGGATGTTCTTTGAAAGTAGTGGACTAGTAATTAAATTTTTCCTTCAAAGGTCAATGAATTGGTTGGTTTTTTTTTTGGGTCCGGTCGTGGGGCCTGAACTCTGGGCCTGGGTGCTGTCCCTCAGCTCTTCAGCTCAAGGCTAGCGCTCTACCACTTGAGCCACAGCTTTTTTCTTTTTTGCTTATGTGGTGCTGAGGAATCGAACCCAGGGCCTCAGCATGCACTGAGCCACCTTCCCAGCCAGAACTGGTTTTTCAAAAGTAGCAATTCTTAACTAATCATGGTGTTGAGCCAGGCATACCTACAGAATGTATCAGTAACTTATTACTGCTGTAGTCAATTGCTAATGAATATAGTGCTGGTTTTCAACATTTTTTTTTTCTTAAACATTTGAAAAAGCAGTTGGAGGCAGCCCTGTGAAAGTGACAGCCAGACGGGCACTGGGTATGCCCCCGGTGCAGCTGCAGAAGCCAAGGGGCATGTTCTCACTGTTGCGCTGCACATGGACATTAAAAGGAGCTTTAGAGACTACTGGGTCCAGCCTTCTCCATCTAAAGATGACAAACTCACTCTCACAGAAGAGCTTTATCAATCAGTCGTATTAACACTGAAACACACAGGCAATCAAATACAAGGAAACAGAGGAGACAGGCAAGGGTGAGAAGAGGGGAAATAAGCCCTCCTTCAACCTCGTTGGCTATGTGCCTGTCAGATATACCTTCCACTGCTGCTTTTCCTGGAAATATTTGAAAAGATATAAAAGAAAAAAGAAAAAAATAGAAATAAAATGCCCAGAACTATCTTGAGGTAATAACTTTCCTTGACATTTTGACTTTCTCCATCAAATCCCTTTTTTACAGTGCATATTAGAAAAAAATGTTTTGTTTTCTCCTTTCTTCATGAAACACTATATCATGAATAATTTCTCATACTTTTTTTTTTTTTTGGTCAATTGTAGGTCTTGAACTCTGGGCCTGGGCGCTGTCCCTAAGTACTTCAGCTCAAGGCTAGTGCTCTATCACTTTGAGCCACAGAGCCACTTCTGGCTTTCTAGTGGTTATTTGGAGATAGGAGTCTCATGGACTTTCCTGCCTGGGCTGGCTTTGAACCATGATCCTCAGATCTCAGCCTCCTGAGTAGCTAGGATTACAGGAGTGAGCCACCAACACCTGGCTTCTATACTCTTTAATATAGCTTAAAAGTATAATTTCATGATATTGGTGTTAAAATTCCACTAAATAAATTGGTGTTAAACATGCTAAATTTCTCCCTTCTTATTGTATTGTTAGGTCATCCTTCCATTTTTATATTAATTAAAAATTGAAAATAATCCTATGTAAGTTTATAAAAACTACTCAAATATAGTATTTTCTATTTATATATTTGCAATAGTTCTGTGAAATGGTTATGCTCTGGGGCTTACAGGTACAGTGTACAGTGATGATCAAAGAGGAAGCACACACCTACCCCAGGACCTTCTCTACTGAGGACAGAGGCAATAGTACAGTCAATCAGCACCATGATTAGTGCCCAGAAGGAGCCTTTTGACTGCTCTCAGCCACAACCATGAGAGGAAAGCTGTTTTAGCTTAACTGCTTTTATTTAAAAAAAGATTTATTTTTTATTTTTTGCCTGTCTTGGGGGTTGAACTTGGGGCTGGGCAGCTGTTCCTGGGCCTCTTTGTGCTCAAGGGTAGCACTCTACCACTTGAGCTACAGTTCTACTTCTGGTTTGGGGGTAGTTAATTACTTTTCTGCCCAGGCTGGCTTCAAACCGCAATCCTCAGATCTCAGCCTCCTGAGTAGCCAGGATTTCAGCCATGAATAACAGGTACATGGCTCTGACTACTATTCTTAAAATCATATAGGAGATGGGCGCTGGTGACTCACAGCTGTAATCCTAGCTACTCAGGAGGCTCTGATCTCTGGATCGAGGTTCAAAGTCTTCCCTGGCAGGAAAGTCAGTGAGACTCTTATCTCCAATTAACCACCAGAAAGTCAGAAGTGACTGTGGCTCAAGTGGCAGAGCATTTGCCTTGAGCTGAAGAGCTAAGGGACAGCACCTAGGCCCAGAATTCAAGCCCACCACTGCCCCCCAAAAAAACATATAGGAAAAAAGGTGTGAAATAATTGTGAGATGTCTCATCTACAGTATCTAGAGGATCTGTAGGAAATGACTGATCTCTCTCCCAGTGGTATCTGGAGAAGGGCTCTTTAATGTCTACTCCACACAGCATGCGTGGGCAAAATGTCCTAACAATGTGGATGCCTGTCCTGCATCAGTGACAGCATACTTCCAAGTTCATGTGGTTATGAAACCTCTGCTGCCTGACACAGAACAAGAACAGTAATATGCTTTCCTTAATCCAACTGCCAACCAAAAGATGAAAACAAATTAAAAATTCATTTTGTGTCAGTGCTAGGACTTGAATTCAAGGCTTGCTCAGCTTTTATACTCAGGGTTGGTGTTCTGCCACTTGAGCTATGCTTCTACTTTGGGATTTTTGCTGGTTAACTAGTGATCAGCAATCTGATTTGTGTGCCCACTCCAGAATTCAGACCCCTGAGCAGCTAGGATCATAGGTGTATGCCATTGGCAACCCAGCTTGCATATCATTTGTAATGTTAGAAACTCTCCCTCCTCAAATTGTCCTTAGCCTTTGTGTGAGCCAAAGGAAGTGGGAGATAAGTTTGCTTAGTGGACTGGGTGAGTTACAGCTGTCCTCTTGAGTTACCTGTGACAAATTCATATGGACTTCTAGAGTAAATACCTGAGGTAAAGGCTACAGGATCTGTTTGCCTAACTTTAAGTCTTATATAACTTAGCAAAATTAAATCTAAGCCACTGTGACACAACAATGTTATTCTTTTAATATTTAAAAAGGGGGATGGGAATGTGGCTTAGTGGTAGAGTGCTTGCCTAACATGCATGAAGCTTTTGGGTTTGATTCCTCAGTACCACATAAACACAAAAGCCAGTAGTGGTGCTGTGGCTGAAGTGGTAGACTGCTAGCCTTCAGCAAAAGCAGCTCAGGGACAGTTCCCAGGCCTGAGTTCAAGCCCAGGACTGGCAAAAATAAATAAATAAAATAATATCTACACCTATAATTCTATGGATTTTTTTTTTTGGTCGGCCATGGGGCTCGAACTCTGGGCGTGGGCGCTATCCCTGCGCTCTTCAGCTCAAGGCGAGCGCTCTACTGCTTGAGCCATAGTGCCACTTCCAGTTTTCTAGTAGTTTTATTGGAGATAAGAGTCTCACGGCTACCCGGGCTGGCTTTGAACTGTGATCCTCAGATCTCAACCTCCTGAGTAGGAAGGATTACAGGCGTGAGCCACCAGCCCCTGGCTTTGTCTATGGAATTTTTAGAAAGAAATTATTTATAAAACTGAACTTTCTCAGGGTTATCTATGGGTAATTTACATTCTAGCCACAGAAAAAGAAACAAATAAACAAAAACAAGTATGAGGTGACAAAGACCCGTGACAAAGACCGCTTTCTCACTCCCCACCATCTGTATCTGTTTAACAAGTAGAGAGATTTACATAACAGGAATAAACTCTTCTTTTTGTGTTTGCCAAAAGAACTTCAGATATACAAACATAAAAGGACAAGAACATATACCTGAAGAATCAGGCCCCATGTCAATCTGTCAAATGTGGAAATTGATCACCATTACCTCTTACATAGAACAACAGAAGAAGCTAAATCAATGCAAGACAATGACACAAAGTTGCCAACAAACCCATGTAAATTGAACACCAAAATGGCATAGTCACAATGTCTGATCACAGACAATCCTACAGGGCCGTAGGTAGGCTGGTTTGCTTTTCAAGCATGTTGTTTACTGGAAAGACTGGGAAGGATTTAGCATGCGCACTTACCTTACCAAAGCATCTGGTTTGCTTAGCTGGTTATTAGGAATACAGTTTTCCATTAAGTCCTTATGTGTACTTGGACTCTTACTGGTGCACTTCTGCTTCTTCTCGTTTTTACTAGAGGAGGAAGGGATGCTCCCATTTGAAGCACTATGACTTCGAGGAGAGGAGTTCACAACTCCACTGGCATTTTTGTAATTTTTTGAGGAAGCAGTGCATGAGTCCTCTTTTAAGAGATTTTCTGTACTTCCCACAAGATCATTATTTAATCTTTTACTATTGATATGGTTTTCCATATACTCAATTTCTTGTATTTTAGAGTCTACAGGTTGTAGAATATTGTTGTTATTTATTCCAACGTTGTGTTTTTTGGCATCCTTGTCCTTTTCTTTCCCTTTTTCTCGATATTCTATCTCTGGCAAAGTTGTAGACAGTTTTTTGTTGGCTGGGATGCCTCCATTGTGATGTATAAGGATCGAGGAATCCATATCAGGTAATCCTTTGGCTGCTACAACACCAAAAACAAATCAACAAACAAAACAATCCACACTGGAATATTTAGTTTTAAAGACATAAGATTATATTGATTCAACAAAACTGTATTAGCTTGGCTTAGAAAATTTTTTTCTTTTTTCTTTTTTTTGGTCAGTCATGGTGCTTGAACTCTGGACCTGGGTGGTATCCCTCCGCTCTTCAGCTCAAGGGTAGTGCTCTACCACTTGAGCCACAGTGCCCCCCCCATCACCCCCCCCCGCCCCTCGGTTTTCTGGTGGTTAATTGAAGATAAGAGTCTCAAGGTCTTTCCTGATGGGGCTGGCTTTGAATTGTGATCCTTGGACCTCAGCCTTCTGAGTAGCTAGGATTACAGATGTGAGCCACCGGCCCCCAGGTTGGCTTAGAAATTTACTACATTAATTTGTGAACTCACTTGGAAGCAATAGTTACCACCAATTATGCTAACTTCAAGAAACAAATCTAAATATGTTTGAGAATCTGCACTTTAGAAAATCATCATGCCGGTGTCGGTGGCTCACACCTGTAATCCTAGCTACTCAAGAAGCTGAGATCTGAGGATCGCAGTGCAAAGCCAGCCCATGCAGGAAAGTCAGTGAGGCTCTTATCTCCAAATAGCCACCAGAAAATCAGAAGTGGCGCTGTGGCTCAAGTGGTAGAGCGCTCATCTCGAGCTGAAGAGCTGAGGGACAGCGCCCAGGCCCAGAGTTCAAGCCCCCCAACCAACAACAAAAAAGAAAAAAGAAAAAAAGAAAATCATCAACATTTATGAATACCAAACTACTAAAGATTTGACCTTAAAATCAGATTCAAATTTTATAATTTGTACTTATTACATCAATCAAATAAAATTTGTTTATCATTATGATGAAAGAACAGAGTCAAATTATTCACCTTTAAAAAGATAACTAGATTGCCACATGCCTGTAATCCTAGCTACTGAGTAGGCTGAGATCTGAGGATCACAGTTCAAAGTTAGTCCTGATAGGAAAGTCTGTGAGATTCTTTCTCTAATTAATCACAGAAAAGCCAAAGTGACTCTATGGATAAAGTATTAGAGTGCTAACCTTGGGCAAAAAAGTTGAGGAACAGTGCCAGGCCCTGAGTTCAATCCCAGACCAGAAAAAAAAGATGACTAGATTAAACCAACTACTAATCATTTTACTGGAAACAAAATAGTTAATGATTTCAGGATAAAGGCTATCTATCCCTTCTTGACTCCAGTGAGGTATTAAGTCTGTACCATATACTAGCTCGCTTATGAAGAATTTTCTGGGCTGGAGGTGTGGTTTAAGTGGTAGAGTACCCGTCTAGCCAGCAAAAGGCCCCAAAATAACTCTCTAGTAAATAATTTTTGTATCAATTCTAGATATTCCAACTTTTTCATATCTATGTGAGGGACATTTTTGCACAATCTCAGAGAAAAAGATTTTGATATGTATTAACTAAAAACATAACTTCAAACTTCTAACACCCAAGCCAAGAAAACTAGTACTGTTGTCAATTCATCTTTATCTAACTGGTTGAATATCTATGTAAGAAGTCTCATCAAAAATGGTTCAATTTAAAATCTCTATCACATTATATGAAACAGAATAATTAGCCCTATCTATCTTCTGACTTACAACTTATAAATCAATCCTACAGGTTCACATCTCTATTTTGTTTATATTTTGGTTTTTGGCTTGTTCAATTACAAATTCAAAGTTATATATTATTTTGTTGGCGAAAATATATTTTTAATAATTTTTGAGATTAAGTGATTATATAAATTTCACAAATTTCATAGTACTGTGAAATAGTGGTACTTAAAGTCACCAACACATTTTAACCTTCACATTACCATGCCCCCATGGTCTATGTTGGTGAATTCTATGAACTTTGACAATACAAATATTTCTTCCACATTGGGTGAGAGAAAAATATTTTTAAAATTTTGTAGTAACACAGTATCAAATAAATGAAAAAATGAAGTAAACATATTTAGAAAATGAATGAATAAATAAGTATTTAGAAGCAGATGCCCTATCTTTTTTTTTGTCTGTTTTGGGACTTCAACTCAGGGCCTAGGCACTGTCCCTGAACTCTCTTGCTTAAGGGTAACACTTTGAGCCACAGCTCTACTTCCAGTTTTCTGGTGATTAATTGGAGATAAGTATCTCACAGACTTTTCTGCTTGGCTGGCTTTGAACTAGGAATCTGAGATTCCTGAGTAGCTAGGATTACAAGTGTGAGCCACCAGTGCTTAGCCATACTCTAGCTTCTGACCAGACAAAACAATGGCTCTGAGGCAGAATACCAGAAAAGAGGAAGATCTAAAACCTTAGCTACTGTTCTGAAAAGAAAAATCTACAAGGAGACACAACAGACCAGCTTATTAGGTTGACAGCTTTGGAGTAAAGCCCTACCTTCCTCTGCCTCTTTTTCTTGTTTCTGTAGCATCTGTTGCTCTGGAGGAAGGGCTTGCTGAAGAAGCTGCATGTAAAATTCGTTCTCTTTTTGCACTTCCTTTTGCTTTCTTAACCGCATTTTGTAGCTCACATAACTTTTGAAGCCAAAGCCCAAAGTCACCACAGGATAACCAATACTAGAAAGAAGACAATCAGGACAATCATTGCAAGTTGGAAACAAACAATACATGCATCAAATAAAGGACATCAGGATATCTATGACTTTTTATTATTAGGTAACGGGCTGGGAATGTGGCTTAGTGGTAGAGTGCTTGCCTGGCATACATGAAGCCCTGGGTTTGATTCCTCAGAAACACATAAATAGAAAACGCCAGAAGTGGTGTTGGGGATCAAAATGGTAGAGTGCCATCCTTGAGCAAAAGCAGCTCAGGGACAGTGCCCAGGCCTTGAGTTCAAGCCCTAGGACTGGCCAAAAAAAAAGATAAATTCTTACAATTAAAAAATAAATTCTAGGGCTGGGAAGGTGGCTCAGTGGTAGAGCGCTTGCCTTGCATGCTCAAGGCCCTGGGTTCGATTCCTCAGCACCACATAAGCAAACAGAAAAAAGCCGGAAGTGGCGCTGTGGCTCAAGTGGTAGAGCGCTAGCCTCGAGCTGAAGAGCTGAGGGACAGCACCCAGGCCCAGAGTTCAGGCCCCACGACCGGACCCAAAAAAATAAATAAATAAAAATAATAAAAATAAAAAATAAATAAATTCTAACCGGGCGCTGGTGGCTCATGCCTGTAATCCTAGCTACTCAGGAGGCTGAGATCTGAGGATCGAGGTTCAAAGCCAGCCTGGGCAGGAGAGACCGTGAGACTCTCATCTCCAATAATCCACCAGAAAACCGGAAGTGGCGCTGTAGCTCAAGTGTTAGAGCACTCGCCTTGAGCTGAAGAACTGAGGGACAGCGCCCAGGCCCAGAGTTCAAGCCCCACGACCGACAAAAATAAATAAACAAAATAAATTCTAGCTGATGATAGCCAGCTGAAGACAGTATTCAGTAAAAGCATACATAAAGGTCATAGCAAAATGACACTTTTTATTATCATTCTACATTATCATTTGGAAATCAGAGACAGTCGCATACAGGACAAACACCCAGAGAACAGCAGGACTACTAGTCCATATTTTTTTTTAAATGCTTCCCATCAGACTTCAGTGCTCATTAAATAAAAGTCAAGAAGTTACAACAGTGACTGTCGGATCCAGTGGCTACAGTCTATCAATTATTGGCCCGACTTGTGTATTAGAATTGCAGTATCTGTATGCTAAGAACTAAAAAAGGAAAAGGTTTTATGATTGACCACAAGAAAATAAGCTAAATATTTAACAAATCAAAATGATGTTCAGTTTTTAACACTAGAAGTTGACTAATTTTAACTTAGCCTTCTTACTGCCTAAGGAGTAATGTCACCAGCTATTCCTAGAAAATTAATTCACAAATATTCTGTCATGCATAAATTAAAGAATCATTTATGTAAGTGTCAGATATCAGTGCTAGCATTTGGGTTGTGCCACCAAATTAAACCAGGTGTACTTATAACTTTAATTCTGGGATAGTAGAAATATTTGCATTCAACTCATCATGCTGTCTAATACCATTTCAAAGCCTCTGCAAACATTGTTAAACCCATATTAAGCTTCATTAACATCAGTCCTTATCAGTTCATAGTCTAAATGTGATCTTTCTACAAATTTAAAGAGACATGTTTTAGTGAGTAGGGTTTAATTCACTTGTTTGTGAAAAGACAAAAAATACTGGAAGCAATATTTCCTATTTTTTTGAATTTTGTCATAAATATGAACAAAAACTGGTATGTTTATGAGAAACATAACAGCAATTCTATAATCAACATACATAAAAATCAAGCTCATTTTCAAAACTCTGGTTAGATTAAATAAAGAATTTCTCAATATTTATTGAAATTTCCTAAGGAGAAACAATAGGCCTTTGAAAGTTATGAAAGTTAATTCTGTAAATTGGCTAAAGGAAATTCTACGTTATTTTAAATGTCCTGAAATAATCATGTAGTCCATAAAATCCTTTTGAAATCACTATCAGATTATAATAAAATAATTAACATTTACCAGACACCTATGTGCTTGGTATTAAGTTAAACATTTTACATAAATCACCACATTTCCTGTTTCCTATGACCCTAGGAGACAGGTAAGAAAGTAGATAATGACATAATTCCAGTGGAAAAAACTGAGATTCCAAAACTCATCTATCTGAAAAAGTAGGCTAAAGGTTTTTATGTGTATTTTTCTTTTGGTTTTTGATCTTTTTTGAAATAGTCTGGCTCTGTAGTCCAGGCTGGCTTTGCACTCATCTTCCTGTCTCAGGTTCCCAAGGACTAGGACTACAGGTGTGCGCCATCATGCCTAGTAGAACAAACAGCTAATGCTTTTTACCAGTATGTGCTTTCTGGGCTCATGTACAATAGCTAAGAAAAAAAAAAATCAAGTGAACTTACCAGTTTATATTGAAATGAATTATACATGAAGAATACAGATAATACTCACCAGTGAGCAGCAAATGGACGACAAAGGTCTACATGAAAATTTTTGAGATCTTTAAATCTAATTGCTGCTTCAATATAAACAAAGAGTATCCAGAGGGATACTGTAGGCAAACACACTCCCCGTTCTGTGGGAAAGCAGCAGGGAGATAAGCATCAATGATACAGGAACATAACAGATGGGTTGTTTGAGTGACTGATTCAACTAGAGTTAACTTTCACTAAGATTTTCCACTGAACTAAACTAAAAAGCAATTAGATCCAAACTGAAAGCTTATCTGATGAGCAATTTCACAGAATCATTGACAAAAAAAAAAAAAAGGAAAACATTCTGGCAAGAAATAGTCAAAATATATGTAAAACAAAAGATTGATCATCCTGACATACAAAGATACCCACAACCAATAAAAAGGTAATGAAAACTGGGACTAGTACTGCATGCCTATTGTCCCAGCACTGGGGAAATTGAGGCAGGAGTTCAAGGCCATCCTGGGTAACACAGATCCCATCTTAAAAAAATAAAACATTCTTAGCATTGGTAAGGCCCAAGAAGGAGAAAATTTGCAAGTCATGAAATAAGAAATATAGATGACTAAAGAACATGAAAAATATTGTATTCTTTCTTAGTTAAAGAAGAACAAATTAAAACAAATTCTTTCTTTGTACAACTACTTAAAGATAATAAAATATATTTAAGAAAAAAATAAAAAAAAATTTTTTTTTTGGTCGTGGGGCTTGAACTCTGGGCCTGGGCACTGTCTCTCAGCTCTTCAGCTCAAGAGGCGAGCTCTCTACCACTTGAATCACAGCACCACTTCCGGTTTTCTGGTGGTTAATTGGAGATAAGAGTCTCATGGACTTTTTCTGCTTGGGCTGGCTTTGAACCATGATGCGCAGATTTCAGCCTCCTGAGTAGCTAGGATTACAGGTGTGAGGTACACACGCCTAGCGAAAAAGATTCTTTATAAAAAAAAAACTATCTAGCATATTTATAAGATGATTTCTTTGTTCCTTTGTAATGTCCCTCCCCCACAGTATAACCCCTGCTTTCACTGTATTTGATGTTGGTATAATCTGTGGAGGGGAAGGGAAAAAAACAAATTATTTAAATAAGGATACGGGTGGACCCATTGCAACAATGAGATGTACAAGTTGTTATGTCGAAAAACAAACTTTACAACTTTGATGGGGGGGGGGAACCAAGTAGGTAAGGTGGGGGCAGACGGGAAGGGGAAACAAAGAAGGAGGCAACAATGCTTGATAAGAAATGTACTCGTTATCTTGCCCATCTAATTGTAACTCCTCTATACGGTATTTTCACAATAAAAAAATCTATTTCAGTGAAAAAAAATCTATCAGAAAATTTAAAGGACAGGTATAGTATAGGAGAAGGTATGAAGAAAGCTATGTTCTTATACTTAATATAAACTGTGACTTTGTTAGAATTTGGCAGTATAGTTAAGTTTAAAATACATATACTTTAAACCCAGAAATTCAACTTCTAGGTCTCTACCTTATAGAAATACCAAAAAAAAAAATCACTATAGTATTATTTGTAATATTAAAAATTTAGAACTTAAATGTTCAACACCAGAGAACTAATTATGATAACCTATATAAAGAAATGTTGCAGGTTGCCTAAAAACTGAACAAAAATATATAAAACTCTTAAGAAAGAACAAGTTGTATAACAAAGCTATTTCTTCTGACATTTAGGTACAATTTGAAAAAGTTTTGCTTATTTTTTTTCCTTAACCCTATGCTTTCATAATTAAAAACCATTTGTGAGTAGACACAACTAGCTACTCAGGGGCTGGGGAGGTGGCTCAGTGGTAGAGCGCTTGCCTTGCATGCCTGAGGCCCTGGGTTCGATTCCTCAGCACCACATAAGCAAAAAAAGAAAAAAGCCAGAAGTGGCACTGTGGCTCAAGTGGTATAGTGCTAGCCTTCAGCTGAAGAGCTGAGGGACAGCACCCAGGCCCAGAGCTCAGGCCCCACTACCGGACCCCCCCCAAAAAAAAAAACAACTAGCTACTCAGAAGGCTGAGATCTGAGGATGATAGTTCAAAGTCAGCCTGGACAAGAAAGTTCTTGAGGGCTGGGAAGGTGGCTCAGTGGTAGAGCGCTTGCCTTGTATGCCTGAGGCCCTGGGTTCGATTCCTCAGCATCACACAAGCAAAAAGAAAAAAGCCAGAAGTGGCGCTGTGGCTCAAGTGGTAGAGCGCTAGCCTTGAGCTGAAGAGCTGAGGGACAGCGCCCAGGCCCAGAGTTCAGTCCCCACGACTGGACCCCCCCCCAAAAAAAAGGAAGTTCGTGAGACTCTTATCTCCAATTAATCACCAAAAAGCTAGAAGTAGAGGTATAACTCAAGTGGTAAGCCCTAGCCTTGAGCAGAAAAAAAGCTAAGCAATAGTGAGAGGCCCTGAGTTCAAGTTCTAGTACTGGTACAAAACAAATAAACAAACAAGCAGCAACAAAAGCTCCCAATAATTTAAAGGAGAAAAAAGCAACCTGCAAATAGAATATTTTCTGAATGTGCATTATGATAGGCATGAGGGCCAGAAGGCTTTTTTCACTATGGATATGTTGTTAGAAATTAAAGTAAAAAAAGTCATAGGGTCTTAAAGTCATAGTGATCTTAGAAAGATCACTTAATATCACTCCCACATTTTGTGGACAAGAAAAGTGAAATGCAGAGTTTATGCAAATGTGGTTCACCTTTACAGATGTGGCAGTGAGCCCTCTTCCTAGGCAAACCCATGTACTCTTTTTTTTTTGTCCATCATGGGGCCTGAACTCTGGGCCTCGGCACTACCCCTCAGCTTTTCAGCTCAAGGCTAGGGCTCTACCACTGAGCCATAGCGCCACTTCTGGTTTTTTCTGCTTATGTGTTGCTGAGGAATCGAACCCAGGGCCTCATGCATGCAAGGCAAGCTCTCTACCACTGAGCCACCTTCCCAGTCAAACTCTTTTTAAGTATAGTCTCTTCAAGTTATGTCAACTCGGATGCTCTGTTAAGGCAGTTTATATCTCATTCTTACAGATTTAACCAAAAAAAAAAAAAAGGTAGTTTTCACAATATAGGGAAAAATAGAAACCCACAATATATTTTTAAATCACTTCAAATATTTATATTCTTTCTATATTTATTTTTAACATTCATTTATTATGTATTTGAAAAACAAAACAGAATACCTGCATATCCACATCTATTAAATAAGTGAAAGTATTTTTGAACAATTATAATAATTATGTCATAAATTTAGTTTTATATCTTGGCCCTTTAAGAGCAAGGAAAAAAGTTCAGCGACACAAAATAATCATTCTTGTATGGCAGTATATAATTTAATTAATCATTTCTAATACTAACAATTTTAAATTTTAACAACTGGAAGAAAAATTAGCCACAAGCTATATAAATTGCACTATTTGCCAGGTCCAAAAAGGAATACAGGTTTTTTGTTGTTGTTGCTGCTGTTTATTTTGTTTCACCAGTAATTGAACCAAATAGAAATACATTCACAATTTATTTATTTCACAACTTAACTGTATTTCAATGTACATTTCTGAACCTTGACAGTATTATTTGATGACACAACTATACTTAATTAGTTACCAAGACCCTATTAAGAATTAATAGTCAAGCTGGGTGCCAGTGGCAACACCTGAAAGCTAGCTCCTCTGGAGTCTGAGATCTGAGGATAATGGTTTGAAGCCAGCCCAGGCAGGTAAGTCTGCGAGACTCTTATCTCCAAGTAACTACCATAAAAGCCAGGAGTGAAGCTATAGCTCAAGTGGTAGAGTGCTAGCCTCAGGGACTGTACCCAGACACTGAGTTCACACACACACACACACAAGTGAACAGAATGAACACACACACACACACACTAGAGTGAAAAGACAGACACACACACACACTAGAGTGAACACACACACACACAAGTGAACAGAATGAACACACACACACTAGAGTGAAAAGACAGACACACACACACACTAGAGTGAACACACACACACACACACACACGAGTGAACAGAATGACCAGAAACTAGTGAAACCAGAAATACTTTGGCTTACAGAAAAATAAGAGTATATTAGAGAGTCTTCAGATCCCTACAGAAATGTTTAACTTGGGAGGAGATTATGCTATACAGAGCACTTGTCTTTCAGAAATCAGCGTTTTGGCTTCAGAGAATAATACATAGACCTCTTCAAACTGTAAGGCAGTCTGAATATTTCCATACATTTTTCTGAGAAAAATCTTTTTTGGGTCTTCAAAGAATCAGTGAACCCCAAAATAGTTAAATTGCACTGGACTGAAGTTTTAATTTTAAACAGAGCTGAGCATGGTGATTCACACCTGTAATCCCAGCTACGTGGAAGGCAGAGATGAGGAGAATTGTGGCTCAAAGACTGGTCCATGCAAAAAGTTCAAGAGATCCCCATCTCAACCATGGGCATGTGGGAAGCATAAATATAAGGACTGTCATCCAAGACAGCTAGGGCATAAATTTTGTGGGACACTATCTAAAAAATAAAGCAAAAAACTCAGGGTCACAGTCTCAGCTCCTGAGCCTGTGCTGCGGCTCTGAACGGTCAGTGTAGGGACCTTCTCAATAAAGTTGCTTCTTTGTTAACAAAAATAAGTAAGTAAATACAGCAAAAAAAAAAAAAAAAAGCCTACAGTATTGCTCAAGTGATAAAGTACCTTCCTAGCAAGCACTAGGTCCTGAGTACAAGGAGATGCTCTGGCTTAGTAATGAAGAACAATTTTTTTTTCTTTTTGTCGATTGTGAGGCTTGAACTCTGAGCCTGGGCGCTGTCCCTCAGCTCTTCAGCTCAAGGCGAGCGCTCTACCACTTGAGCCACAGCACCACTTCTGGTTTTCTAGTGGTTTATTGGAGATAAGAGTCTCACAGACTTTCCTGCCCAGGCTGGCTTTGAACCTCAATCCTCAGATCTCAGCTTCCTGAGTAGCTTGGATTACAGGGGTAAGCCACCAGCACCTGGCTTATGAAGAACAATTTCTATCACAGCAGCCCCCAAATGGTATATAGTGAGCCAGAAATGGCAGATAGGTTTTCAATCAGAGGTAAAACTCCTATGTGTTAGGATGTTGTGGGGATTCTTGTGTTGTGTTGAATTATGGATTCACCAAAATAACCTCTGACATTATTTACAATACTGAAATGGTGGTGACCATTTTTTTATCAGGCACAACATGGCTGTCTGCAGCTACTCCTGAGCAGAAATTGCTTCAACTTTTTTTTCACATAAGTACCTTTGTAATAAGAGTTATAATAGAAATGTCTACAGTGAGATGTCAAATTATAAAGCTTTAGGCTTTTGTTTCAAATAACAAAAACAATCCATTTATAAAAGTATAATCTATTAGAGAAAGACAACTTTAAAGTATACACATAAACTCAACTTTAATTTACTCAAAGAAATCACATTTTGAAAACTCAAGCCTAATATTCTACTCCCCATAAGAAATTAAGACTTACCTGTGTGCCATACATATTGAACCCATACATATGTGCTAGCAGCAAAGAAAAGCCATTGTATGGGAATGAAGAGCAGACATATTATATTTGATGTGAATGCTACACAAACAAAAAATACTGAGAAGGCCTAAAGGGAAAAAACAAAACAAAATAAAAAACACATCTTAGAAACTGTTATCTTTAAATATACATTCTTAAAGTTTGTTGAACAAAATTACTTCACACAGAACAAGTTAGCTAGGAAATTTTAAATACTTAACATCTAGTGCATAAAAAGCAATAGTTAACTCACTAGTAAATGGTATTATTATTTAAGGGTTTTGTTGTTGCTATTTTTTGTGTCAGTATTGGGGCTTGAACTCAAGGCCTGGGTGATGTCCTTTAGCTTTTTCTAGGACTGACAGTTTACTACTTGAGTCAACAGCTCCATTTCAGGATTTTTGGTGATTAACTGAAGAGTCTCATGGACTTCCTGCCCAGGCTGGCTTTGAACTATGGACCTCAGATTCACCCTACTGAGTAGCTAGGAAAGTTTTAAACCATGAAGATAAACTGGTCTAGAACAAACTAAGGTTAGAGCAGAGTGAGCTCATTTGGTTTCTATATAAAGATTATACCTGAAAGGACCAGAATGTTAACAAAGAAAAAGCCTCCTCTTTCCTCTTAAACCTTTCCTAAAGAGCTTCATTACTAAAGCATTACTAAAGAAAATATGCCGATGGAAATAATTTATTAAAATACAGCGGTCCACTGAACACAATTATCGATGACTAATGACATGAGCTTGAAACTATCTTTTTGTAATGAATTTGCTCTGACCACAGCACCAGGCGTGGTTGGAGATTCTAGGACGTTCTAGATTTTAAGATGTGCTATGGAACACAACTGAACATATAATCCAAAAGAACAAGCCAAGGCTTATGTCCTTGTTCTAACCCAGAAGCTCCCAAATATGTGGTCTACAGAGTCCTGAAGGGTCTCTGAGATCTTTTCAAGGGATCTTTGAGGTAGAGCTCTGTCAGAATACCTGAGATATCTGCCTTTTGCATGAGTATGGTGGAATTTTCTAGAATTTACATGACATGTGATATTGCAATAGTCTAGCACAGAGATAGACTTGAAAATCTATATTCTACTGAACTGGGTATTAGAGAGATATGCAAAATGGAGACACTCTTATGGTCTATTTTTTTAATATGATGGTTTTCATCTAAAATGTAATTTGTATTAACATGCATGTAAACCTACCAGTCCCTGGTATCTGAAGGAATCAAAGACACTTCTGAGGAAAAGCCAGAATGGCCACAGGTATTCAAATCTGAACTCCAGGACAAAATCTGCAAGGAGGACAAGTGCCCACACAACCAGGAATTTCAGGTATAGAAATGTACTGCAAAATACAAAAATAAAGAATTCAAGGTCATTTGTGAAGAGCCACAAGGAGAAAATGCACCGCTCCTGTTTACAGAGACAAAAAACATAACTTCATTCACCAGGAACACATGGCATAAAGCACAAAGAGATGCAGCCTTGGCCTTTCCCAATTGCAAAGCCCTGGTGTTCATCCCGAGACTCACAACTACTAAGATGACCAAAAATGCTTAATTCTATTTAAGATGAAAAAAAAATTTAAATCTCTCCACTATTTTAAAATATGTGCTAAGATTCTAACTTTAAAATACTGCAACACTCAAAATTACAGCTTACAAGCTGTTCTTCATTAGAAGAAAATGTCATGGTTGAAAGACTTCAAATGTGCTGCTTCTTCTCCTCTACATCTGCTTTGGAGTCTTTGAAATTCTTGATACACACTCTACATGCTTCAAGAATTCCATTTTCCCTTCTCTTCTTGCCCCTCTCCATAGCATTCATTTGCCTTACCCAAACAAAAGTCAAATGACTTCCCAAAATAGGCAGAAATGAACTTAGGAAGCAGATGCCAGTCATTACCAAGGACTGTGAGGACACAGAAATGGCTGTTAGAAGCCAGGTGCTGGTGGCTCATGACTGTAATCCAGCTACTCAGGAGGTTGAGATCTGAGGACTGCAATTCAAAGCCAGCCCATGCAGGCAAGTCTGTGAGACTTATCTCCAATTAACCACTGAAAAGGTTGAAAGTGGAGCTGTGGATCAAGTGTTAGAGCTCTAGCCTTGAGCAAAAAAAGCTCAAAAACAGTGACCAGGTCCTGAATTCAAGCCCAGGACTCGCAGACACACAAAAAGACTGTTAGAGAGATAGTCTTTAAGCTTCCAGGCTTACACAACATGTACACATGTGCTTCTTGTTCCCCTGGACTTAGATTAGACACACTCACTACTTTGCTATTTCTCACATTTGGACGAGCCAGGTTAGACAAACTTACTACTTAGTTATTTCTCACACTCGGACGAGCCAGGAAGGAATCCTATGTAACCACTGCCCCAAGCTTACAGTGAAGTAAGGCCATAGTTTAAAAACTATTATTTTTCATTGGATCTGAAAATCCATTTTCTAGCTCATTAGTTGCATAATGAGTAATAGAAGCCTCTAAATTCTACCTACTAATAAACTTCCCTTTCTTATATTTTCAATCTTACCAATTCTGGGAGCTGGTGAAATTTTGGTGTTAAAAAGGGCTCTTTATTATAGCCAGGCTTGATGGTCATATACCTGTAATCCTGGCACTTTGGAGGCTGAGGCAGGAGGACTGCAAGGTTGAGCCCAGACTAAGCTACATGGCAACCATTGTTTCATACATGCATACCTGAGTGCTGGTAAAATGTAAAGCAGCTGGGCCTTCCACACTGTGGTGGGATATAAAGTGATGACAAAGTTAGCAACAGCTAGGCAGTTCATTGGTTAAATCCTACACCTACCATGTGATCCACAGACTCTACCCCTAGGCATAGAGTGTCAACAAAACTTGCAACACAAATGTTATCAACATTTTTGTGATACCTAAATTTTTCATATAAACCAAAGGCAATTAATATGTGAAAAAATAAGCAAATTTCAGTATATTCATACTAAGAAATTCTACTCAGCACTAAAAAGGAAGGAACTACTAATCCAGACCACACAGAAGAAACCAAAAACTATCCCATTAGAAACTGGCCATGGGCTGAGAAGGTAGCTCAGTGGTAGAGTGCTTGCCTTGCTGGCATGAGGCCCTGGGTTTGATTCCTCAGCATCACACAAGCAGAAAAAGCCAGAAGTGGTAGAGCTCTAGCCTTGAGCTGAGGGACAGAGCCCAGACCCAGAATTCAGGCCCCACAAGAAAGAGAAAGAAAGAAAGAAAAGAAAGAAAGAAAGAGAGAGGGGGGAGGGAGGGAAGGAGGGAGGGAGAGAGAGAGAGAGAAAGGTAGGGAGGGAAGGAGGGAAAGGAAAGGAAAGGACTCATTACCTTGCCCATGTAATTGTAACCCCTCTGTACAGTATTTTCACAATTAAAAAAAAAAAAAAGGAAAGAAAGAAACTGGCCAAAAAACCCACATTATGCATGATTCTATGTAAATAAAACCCAATATAGAAACAGAGAAAGCACATCAGTGGTTGCCTGGGGACAGAGAAAAATGAAAAGGGACTGAGGAAACTTGTAGGAATAGTGGTTACTATGTTTACCAGTGAAAACTGGTTGTGTTAGAGGGTCCTGGGGTACAACTTAAACATGTATAATTCACAGTATATAAAAGCTCCAACAAATCATGTATGCTTAAACAAAAAGAAAAAGAGAAAATGGTTCAAGTAGGAAGATAAACCCTAGAATAAAACCAGAAACAAATATTTCTAAGTACAAACAAGTATTACATACAGCTAAGTGACTCTGGAAACAGTCAAGACAGTAAGCTAATGCTGTAAAGCGGAGGTTCTCAAAGTGTGTCCTGGGGCACCAGAGCGAGCTATTTCTAAGGGGTCCAGAGGAAAAAAAATTATAATCATTAATAATTCTCTGAAGAGTATGCAGTGGTCTTTTCCAGAAAATCGATATTAAGTACAGAGACAAGAGAAGCCAGCTGTCTTAATATAAGCTCGTAATTAAAAAGAGTTGCAAGATTTTTTTTTTCTTGTGGGAGACCAGGACTTAAACTAGGTTTCTGACCTTTTATGCCCACTGGCAGGAGCCCTACTCCTCCTACCCGTCCCCCACCCCGCGCCTGCCACTCCTCTAACCTCTGCAAAACTTTTTTTAAAAAGTTGCTAAAAGAAAAAATACTTGCTGGCTCAGGTGGCTCATGTAATCCTAGCTACTCAGGAGGCTGAGATCTGAAGATCAAGGTTCGAAGCCAGCCCGGGCAGGAAAGTCCGTGAGACTCATCTCCAATAAATCACCAGAAAAACCGGAAGTGGTGCTGTGGCTCAAGAGGTAGAGTGCTTGCCTTGAGCTGAAGAGTTCAGGGACAGTGCTCAGGCCCAGAGTTCAAGCCCCAAGACCGACCAAAAAAAAAAAAAAAAAACCAAAAAACTAATAATAACTAAAGCAAAAAAAGACTGAGTGTATGGCTTAAGCAGAGCTTGAGTCCCTAAGTCCAAACCACAGTACTGGCAAAAAACAGTTTATTTTGGTGCTGGGGGATCGAATCCTGAGCCTTGTACATACTAAATATATGCTTTATAACTGAACTAACCTCCAGCTGAATCAAAACTTCAGTAATTTTAGTAGGCTTCAATAAGATACAAAAAGACCAATGTACTTGGCAAAGTGAAAAGCAGAAGAAGAATCGAGCAATGAGTATTCTTTCTGTCACCTTTTCGGGTGTAAGGGAAAAAATATTAAAAACAAATCCATCTGACTTTCCATGATAGTGTTCATAATAGTACATAGTTTGCCACCTAGAGTTAATTTCTAATATAGTTCTTCAAACTTCTGTGGATTTGGTAAATCAGTTTCTAACAGGCTCACTCTAAAAGCAAGAATTCACAGTGGTCAGCTTTGTGTCCTATCATTTGACTTCATTTCACTAGAGTCCTGTTGGTCATCTGAGACAGAGTTCTCATTCTCTTTAGGTCCACAGTGGACCCACTGGGGAGCATGGGAATTTTATTAGAAAGAACAACTGAGTTATACAGGTATTTAGAGTCATAAACATAGGTTGACACTAGATTCCCAGATATCTTGACTATAAATCTAAGAGGAATTTTCTTGGTGTCCAGTACTGTTCCCAGATGTTGAAGATTTTTTTCTTTTGCTGGTCATGGGGCTTGAACTCTGGGCCTGGGTGCTGTTCCTGAGCTCTTCAGCTCAAGGCAAGCGCTCTACCACTTGAGCCACAGCGTCACTTCTGGTTTTCTGGTGGTTAATTAGAGATAAAAGTCTCACAAACTTTCCTACCCAGGCTGGCTTTGAAGGGCAATCCTCAGATCTCAGCCTCCTTGGTAACTAGGATTACAGGCATGAGCCACCAGTGCCGGCTTTTTTTTTTTTTGGTCAGTCGTGGGGCCTGAACTCTGGGCCTGAGCACGGTCCCTCAACTCTTCAGCTCAAGGCTAGTGCTCTACCAATAGAGCCACAGCACTACTTCCAGCTTTTTCTGCTTATGTGGTGCTGAGGGCCTCATGCATTCAAGGCAAGCACTCTACCACTGAGCCACCTTCCCAGCCCCTGGCTAAAATGTATTTATTTTGTGTGTGTATGTGTTGTGCACTTACTGATCCTGGGCTTAAAATCAGAGCCTGGGCACTGTTTCCTTATATTTTTTTGTTCAAGGCTAGCACTCTACCACTTGAACCACAGTTCCATTTTGGTCCTTCCTTCCTTCCTTTCTTCCTTCCTTCCTTGCCTCCCACCCCCTCTGTCTTTCTTTCTTTCTTTGGAGGTTAATTAGAGATGAGAGTCTCACAGAATTTTCTGACTGGCTTGGTTTCAAATCTCAATCCTTTTATCTCAGCCTCCTGAGGAGCTAAGATTCTAGATGAGCCACTGTGCCTGGCTCTTGGCTATGTTTTTAAGGTACTTAAAACCTGGCATATACAGCCAGACCCAGTGGTGCATACTGGTGATCTCAGCACTCAGGAGACTAGAGCAGAAGGCTCTCTAGCTGGAGACCAATCTAGGCTATAAAGAGTTCAAGGTCAGCCTGGACATTGTAAGACCTTGCTTCAAAAAAGTAGGAAAAAAATCTAGACACAGGCCACCCCCCCCCCCCCAGCAATGGCTTATATTTATAATCCTAAAAGCTCGGTTCCAAGCCAGCTCAAGCAGACATATGCTCAAGATCTTTTCTTCAACCAATCAGTAAAAAGCCTGAACTGGAAATCTGGCTCAAATGGCTAAGCAAGAGTGCAAAGTTCAGTTCAAGCCCCCGTAGGGGAGGGGATAGGAAAATGGGGAGGTGGGGAAAATTGTATGAAAACAATAGTTCAGAGGCCCTGGGTTCTAACTTCAGAAATGGAAGGGAAAGAGGCATGGGAAT